GGGAAGCCAGCATCGGTTCCTGATCCTTGGAAAACAAGCAACTTCCCCAGCCCCAAACATGCCGGCAGTCATGGCACAATTCCAATGGAACCTGCAGAAGACTGGCCCTACTAACACATCCTGTCATATCCCCATCGCGTCTATCTTCGCACTGAAGGCCTCGGGCTGTCCTGGATGGCTGGTCCGGCAGCAGGCGAATGGTTCTAAACGTCGTGACAGTATTGTAGTAATGAATGCATGGGTATCGGAGAGATCATGGGTTGTGGGCAATTACATGGGCCGCGGAATCATATGAAACAAGCTTCAGCTTTTGTCTTCGGAAGCATGCAGGGTCTGGGTACGAGTAGTTGTGAACATTTGGTGAAGATTTGTTGGGAGGTGGGAAGAGAAGGCCACTACCCAATTGAAGTCAACCGCTTTGATGGTTCTTCACTTCACATTTTGAAGCGCTCGCTTGGCACTATAGCCTTTGTACTATCGTGAGATGCCAGGAAATCGTTGGTTCTGTTTCGTGGGACCGGGCTGCATGTGAGAACGGTACTGCCAGCACTGACCGCTCCAGGACGGGGTGCCACAACGCCTGCAATAGTAGCAATAATAATAATAATAATAATAGTAATAACAGCAATAGTAATAATAGTAGTAGTAATAATAATAATAGTAATAACAGCAATAGTAATAACAGTAATAGTAATAATAATAATAAGAGTAATAAGAATATTAATAATAGTAAAGAAACCCGGAGCTGACGGATAGCACCAGGCTGTTACTGTTTCAACCCTTTCTGCCAAGAACAACGAAGCATCTGCATTACAAAGCTTAGGGATGTCCCGACCTGATAAAGTAGTGTGCCTTTAAAAGGGATCTATAGGGTTCCTTTAAAAGGGGTCTATAGGGTTCCTTTAAAGGGATCTATAGGGTTCCTTTAAAGGGATCTATAGGGTTCCTTTAAAGGGATCTATAGGGTTCCTTTAAAGGGATCCGAGGTGTGTCCACGACGATTGCTGTGGCAGTGGTGTCCTCAGACTTCCCTCGTCCAACACAGACGCTTCATCAGTTACAAAGCCTAGTGGCCGCCCTAAGTCTCCCAACTCGCAGTTGAGAGGCAGGTCATTGCAGCTCTTTTGTCGGCCCAGGTGCATGAGCTTCCACAGGACTGCTTGTGCCTTGCTTTGAGCAGTCGGACATTTCAGACAATGCTGAGGACCCTGCATTTTGAGCATGCGGAGTAACGGATATGCCTATGATGACTAGCTTTTTCACCGCTGCCAGCATCCTTGCAACACACTGAGAACACCATCAAGGCTGGGCTTCCTGCACTGCCTCCAGACAGCGACTCCCTTACGCGAAACTCTACAACCCGAATCGCCTAGCTGTCAAAGCACCGACTCCTAAGCCTTCGAAACCAACTTGCTTGCATGTGGATGCAAAGTGTCTGAGAGATGGCATGCAAATGCAAATGCAAAATGCTTTCGGAGCTCACTCTGTCACTTGTAGTTGGTAACTCGAAGCCTGTGGCGAGTGGTTTCGTGCAAACTGCACTGTAACAATCACTGTACAGCTGGATCTTTGAAGTGGAACTCACACGTTGTGCAAGACAAAAAATGCCTCGGCTCTGCTGTTTCTGTGACCTTCTACGCAAACAGATTTCAAGCATCACATCTCCACACAATGTACGGACCTTTTAGCACCGTGAGGAGATTGGAGACTTCATGGTCTTGCGGTCAGCTGGCTTCCCTACCGGCCAGCTGCTGCGGCTCGACCTTGACACCCGCAAACCCCAGTAACACCCATGTGTACTGGGTTCTTGTTAAGCGATCCTTGTATAGTAACTGAATGAAATTCCTGGACGGGTTGGCGGCGGCTTCGGCCTCGTCTTGGGGGACGATGCAATAGGATAGGGTTTGCGGTGACTGTGCCGAGGGCGAAGATCGAAATCCCTCGGGCAACTCAGGTCCAGGGTCAGGGGCTCACATCTTGCAAGTTGCATCTGAGTATTAGCTTATATAGTGCCTAAAGCGACAGTTTCTGCTTCGTTTGCATTCTGAAACCGCGCCGCACATCCCGGCATGCTACTCCTGAGACCTGGATGTTAAATAGATCGAAGGGCTTCCCAGCCTCAGAAGCACAGAGCAGGTGCGCGAGCAGTATCTTCACCCTTCTGGCAGACGGAAACCCTAAACCTCACTGGCGATAGACCGGAACGACCGAAGGGTTCAAGCAGTTTGCATTACCTGTAAGCTGAAGAGCCTACACAGCTTCCACGCGCACTATCATGCTAAAGCTTCTTGAGTCGTCGCAAACCAGTGCTCAATCGGCTACGCATGGCCACGCCTCGAAACTGTCAAGGTGTTGGAACTTTCTGGCCTCTTTGACCTGTGCCGGTGGCGTGGGGGTCTCAGGCGACTCACTAACGACCACAACGACAACATCATCACCATCATCAACACCAACACCAACACCAACACCAACAACAACCAGTACAACAGCAGTAACAACAACAACTACTACGACGACGACTACTACTACTACCACTACTACTACTAGCCGACAGCGTGCTCCTGTGACCCCCTTAACTGGCCCTGAAGCTTCAAAAGGCGGAAAGGTACTTCTACTTTAGAGGAGCACGCGGGCGACTACTACTACCTTAGAGGAGCAGGCGGGTAACGACTACTACTTTAGAGGAGCAGGCGGGCGACGACTACTACTTTAGAGGAGCAGGCGGGCGACGACTACAACTTTAGAGGAGCAGGCGGGCGACGACGGAGACTACTACCCTATCTAACAATAAGACCCTATCTAACAATATGCCAAGCCAAGCCAAGCCAAACCATTTTAAAAAAGATCTCCTTTCACCGTTGTGACAGAGGAAAACCCTATCTAACAATAAGACCCTATCTAACAATAAGACCCTATCTAACAATAAGACCCTATCTAACAATATGCCAAGCCAAGCCAAGCCAAGCCAAGCCATTTTAAAAAAGATCTCCTTTCACCATTGTGACAGAGGAAAACCCTATCTAACAATAAGACCCTATCTAACAATAAGACTCTATCTAACAACAAGACTCTATCTAACAATAAGACCCTATCTAACAACAAGACCCAATCTAACAACAAGACCCTGTCTAACAATAAGACCCTATCTAACAACAAGACCCTATCTAAGAATAAGACCCTATCTAACAGTAAGACCTTATCTAACAATAAGACCCTATCCAACGCTAAGACCCTATCTAGCAATAAGACCGTATCTAACAATAAGACCCTATGTAAAAGTAAAACCCAAGCCAAGCCGTACGAAACCAAGCCGAACCAAACCAGTCTAAGAGCAAAACCCAAGCCGGGCAACAAAGCAGTGTGCCGGGGCGCTGAGTGCCGTGGCGCAGAAACCAAACGGCTGCCGCATGCGAGGGGGAGAGGTCACAGTCAGAGGCATGCGACAAAAGAGGCAAAAGGGGGGTCACAGGAGCACGCTGTCGCCTACTACTACTACTACTACTACTACTACTACTACTACTACTACTACTACGACTTGTACCACCACCACGACGACGACTACTACTTCATTTTGCATGATGGGGTCGCTGCTGTTGCTTGTGATCACTCCCCTGCAGCTACAGGTAGGGTTGGTGCATGGGCTGGGCGCAGGCCTCGGGCAACAGAGAAGACGAGATTAATCACACAAAGGGTTCAGCATTGAGGGATATGTCAATTGACCGCCACGCTCTTCTGGCGGATTTCTCGTCTGGTGGCTCTTGTTAATTACGTCCCCTCTATTGAATGGATAAAGACTCCCTTCCTGATGTACAGCTCGGGCCTGCTGATAACGAAACAGTCTCGCACGTGCGACGGTTTTCTTTTGGCCTGGATGCAGAGGTGCAGAGTCCTAACTGTTCCCAATTCACCAGCTTTCGTAAAGAAGAGTCCCTGGACAACCTAGGAGAGACCGACTTGGCCGCCTCCGTACAAAGATACATGCCCTGGACTTACGTGGCAGCTGTATGTTCGACTTGGGCCGACTGGAGTCATTTTCACGTTTACATCCGAACCTGCCTGAACCTGCGCAGTTCTGGAAAAAACTCGCATGCAGGTATCATGCTGGTAGCAAAGCTGAGAGCTTGATCTCAGTTTTCAGCTGTCTTTCCCGGGTAAGACCTGAGGACCGCATTCACCGCTGGCACATTCCTCTCCCTGGCCCTGAACATGATCTTCCCGCAGGCACCAGCCACGACAAACAAAGTGTTCGAAAGCAGAGGCTTTTGTCAGGTAAGAGCGCACTGAGCCTCATACTGGCATCACCACTTCTAGGAAGAGGCAGAGCTGCGAAATAACATGACAGCCGTGCAATCCGATGTTCAGCCGGATGCCTGGCAGCCGGAAGCTACCGCAATCTACTGCGTCTCCGGCGTGCAGTGCAGCCTAATGCAGTCCCACAGTGAGCTCGCGACACAATGTCAAGACCATGGCAAAGCACAGCATAAGAGGTACCATAGACGCGTAGCTGATGAGAGCCGAGATTCCGAGGAGTGCGAACCAGTGGTTAGACATTGTTGTTTCAGCTGCACCAAAAGTTTGTATCATCAGAACAATGCAGAGGGCTCTAAAGGTTGGCTCCTTTCATAAATCCTGTCTTGGCCTGCCCCTGTGGTTTAATCACACGTAGTGTCACATAGCCCTCATTTCGACCAGCCTCAGACCATCTGTAATCTGTGCGCCGTACACGGCGTCAGAACGTATCAAACACAGCTGCATGAAATCAACGTGACGATGCAACTTTGAAATAAACGTGTGAACAGAGCCGTAACAGCCTCAGAAAAGCAGCCTCAGCACCATCATCGTCGTCACCAGCTACAGAACCACAGCGAATGTTGAAATAACCCTTGTCGCAATTGCTGCGAGCGTCAGAATGCTGGTGGCTGGATACGGCTAGGTGGGCTGGCTATCATGATGTCGCAATGATCAAACATTCGGTAGCTTTGCTTAGGGGGTCAGGAGTAATGGGTTGCAGGCGCCTTCTCTCATGGCACCCTGCCAAGATCTTCGGCTGCCTAGTATTTCTGAGTTTCTCTGTGGAGGCAGTAGAGGAAGGCAACCCGACCTGCTGGCAAGAAGGCTTCTCCTATGAAATGTGCTGCGATGAGAAGTATGGGCCTGAAGGCAACGAAGAATGCTGGGATGGGATGCACACCTTTCAAACCTGCTGCTTACCTGGAGTCAGCGGATATTCGCCAGTGGCAGGCTTCGAGGATCTCATGGCCCGGGGCTCCACCGGAGATGTTTCGGTCTTGCCTGCGATCATTCAGCTCATCAGCTCTGGCGGCGAGGACTGCACGAAGTCTTCTCACCCCAATGCTTCCGGCTGCGATACGGGAGGCGACGGGATCTCGGGCAGGCAGTGGAAAGCTTTCTTCGAGGGTTCATCGATGTCGAAATTCATGCGTTTACAGCCCTGGCCTCCGGATGGAGAGCCTTCGAAACTCTGGAAAGCATGCTGCTCCGACTCTAGCATGAGCATCCGTGATCGTGTCTTGACATTGGCCGAGTCTTGTGCCGCCGGAGCAGCTGCTTTGGTTCTGTCTGTTCTTCCGCAGCTTGACGCAACCTCCCCCACAGCCGCGCTCGAAGGCTATGCTGTTGGCTCAGAGCTGGCTGTGAGATTGCAGGAAACTGGGGACTGCCGGTGGCTGTACCAGACAAATCGAGCTGCTTGGATGCACTACGACTGGTTCATGTCACCACCGGAAAAAATGCTGCCATGTGTTGGATCCGTTCGCATCTTCGTCGACGAGCGTGACACGGCATCGGTGCTGCGAGAGGCCCCTCTCAGCTGTGCACATCGAGGCCTCTGCTTCACAGAGGTCTGGGTACACGAATTCTTTCAACGCGCGAGCTGTCGCGTAGACGATCCCGCCCAGGCTGATTTTGTTTACGTGCCCATCTACTTGTCCTGCTACGACATGCAGGGGCCAAAGCGGGGCGACCAAGCCCTCGCCCTGGAAAAGTTGATGGGAGACCTAATGGCACAGGAGGGCCCACCGGTGTTGTTGGTTTTTACTTGCGAGAAGTGGAAGATGAAAGGATGGAGGAGCCTGCTGGGCCGCGAAGGTGATCGAATGCGAGACCACGTGGTGGCTGCAGTGGAGACTCGACCTCTCTTGGGCCCAGAAGACGATGAAAGGATCCTTCCGGGGACTGCGTGGAGTTGTGAGGACTGCTTTCGATTTGGCTTGGATGTGGTCTTGCCATCGGCCGTTCCGGCACCCGAAGCCTATCGACTTCGATTCTTCAACAGGGAGCTAGACGAGCGAACCCTTCTGCTGGTTTGGCGAGGGGAGCACGCCGAGTCGGATATTAGGTCAGACGTGCGAGAAGGTTACCTCGAGGTAAACGAGACAGTGCGACCAAAAATTATCAAGTATTTTGAGAGCAAGCCCGATGCCGATGTGGGTCGTCCCTCCATGCGATACAGCTTCCTCATGGGTAACTCGCACTTTTGTCTAGTGCCACGTGGTCGTGGCTGGTGGACGGTCCGCCTTTTCGAGGCTTTCTACGCCGGCTGCATACCGGTTCTGCTCAGTGACGACGTAGAGCTGCCGTTCGAGGATTTCCTGGATTGGGACACCTTTTCTCTGAAGTGGCCAATGCATGAAGTCGGGGAGAGCCTCTACTTGCATTTGCGGGCCTTGAAGCGCGATGAGCGCAAGATGAGGGAGCTTCACGAAGGTGTGCGTGCCGTCTCTTGCTGGTTCGATTTCTTGGATCCGTCGGGTGAATGCTCGCCGTATCAGGGCCTCTTAAGGCAACTGGCCCGCAAACGGCAGATGAGGCCCAGGAAGCCCCTTCGGCGTTTCTGGTTCTAACAGAAAAATCCAAGTAAGCAGCATCTCTCCGCCACCACTGCCGAGGTTCGTGCGAATGCCTCCACTACACTTAAGCAGGGCAGTGATAAAGCTTGTGAGCCGAGCGCAGGTCTTGGAATCCATCAAGAACAGCCACCAGGGAAGAGCAGCTGCGTGGGCAAAGGTGTCCGGAACTGAGAGAAGTCGCAGTGTTTTTTGGACTCTGCAGTTCAGCAGTTCTATGGTGCCCGTAGGCCCCGAGGTAGTGTCTTTTTGGGATTACCTTATAAGATTCTATATATGAACCCCAAAAGGGAACGGCCTTTGGGAAGTGTGTTCCATAGTATCTGCGGGACCCCTAGACTGATGTACCCGTCATTATAGGTTCATCCTGGCCAGTCGGGAGGCAAAACAACTGATTCTAGACCCTACATACTTCTTTGAAGCTTATTCGTATTCTAAAATCCTCATACTACGGAATTTATAAGGGACCCTACAAAAAAAGGGCAGGTTTGGGGTGGGTTCTGGTAGCCCTCTAAACCGTGATATTATGGAATTTATAGGAGATCCTACAAAAAGAAGCGTAGGTTTGGGGTAGTTTTACGTAGCCCTCTAAACCCCAAACATTCTGGACATTCTAGGGACGTTACAAACATGAACCCTAAAGCAACCTCGTACATGTTTGGTGGAAATCGCGTGAATTTCCACACACACACACAGATCACTGTGTACCTCAGTCACCCGGCTGATATACCTGTTAGGGCCGTGAGTTCATCCCCAACCCGTCATGTGTGATCTGCCGACCGTAGTCCTCAAGGTCCTACAATCATTATACTGAGTACCGAGTTGAAAAGGATCTTGAGAGTGGGAGATGAAACTGCCAGGCTTAGATTGGTGTGATCACTTAGTGGCGTTTTGATGTTACTGTTCCGACGACTCTCCCACCTTAGCGCAGTCTCACCCAGCAGACCTGAAACCGCATGCCTCGCCTGGGATTGCCCGAGTGTGAGCCCCGAAACCTTAAGTTATTTTTTTAGGAGAAACAATTACCCGTAAACCCTAAGTTAGGCGTTTTTTTGTGAAAGGTAACCCTAAGATCTCTGAGGCTCTGCAGTGCGCTGGCCGTTCTGGCCGTCTACGTTCTTCTTCGGATCGGAGAGCTGGAGGCCCCAAGGTTTTATAGGGTTTAGGGGTTTAGGACAGAAGCCGGAGGCCTGGATGCAAAAGGACAGGGGGTTTAGGGGTGGGGGGGGGGTGTTAGGTAGGGTTGAGGCGTTTAGTTGTTTCAGGGTTAGGGTTTAGGCGGTTTAGGGGTTTAGTTATTTCAGGGTTAGGGTTTTAGGGCTTAGGGGTCGAGTATCTCTCGCAAGCTGTGTCCACCACCGTTCGTTCTTCGGTGCGACTCGCGCTGTAAACCCGAAGGCCTGGTTGCATAAGGGTTTAGGGGGCAAGGTTTAGGGGCGGGCCTCGGCTGAAGAGCAGCGGAAGAGGCGGTGCAGGCAGTCATCAAGTCCGGTTTCAAAAAAGGCCCACCCTACAGAGACCTACTGGGTTCAGGGCTTTTGCAGGTAGGCTGAAGGAAGTAGAAGTATAAGGCCCAGCTTTCCTGCAAGAACTCGTAATTGTACCCTGTAGTGAACCGAAGTTGATGTAATGTAATGGTATCTGTCTCACAGAGCCCGTGCAGCCGCTTACTATGAAGGTTTTAGGGACTTATCACCAGGATTACATTAAGGGTTTAGGGTTATAATCTTAAGGCCTCAAGCTGACAAAGCCGCGAGTGGATTTTGCCAGGAGCAGGCTTCTGGAGCATGCAGCAAACTGCCATGAAAGTGTGATCTCGAAAGTAAATAAGAGTTAGTTTCATGTGGTATGCTACCCGAATAAATGTATAGTGGTATCGCGGTAGTAGACTGTCAGGAGGTGATTTGCTTCACTTTGAGCAGAGGCTGTCGCAGACACGATTTCTGTGATTGCCCCTGCCAATGACAGGATGCCCATCTGGCCGTACTCCTTTCGCAAACCATGACCTTCCAAGTAAGCCACATCCCTGTAAAACCTCAGACGAACTCTTTCGGGAGTCGCCTCGAGTTGCCGTCTCCTCGCTGAGCCGACAGATTGCAACACAGCCTTAAGCCCGTAAGCTTAAGCTTTAGCCCCTGATGTCGAGGTTCAGATAGCAATCAGCACTATTTTGGGTTCCTCATTATGCTAGAGTCTACAGTATAAGTGTAATAGGCCCCAAAATCCTTATTCTAATTATTAAGGCGCCTCTAGAAATTCATGCAGGACCACGACCACGGGCATGGTTCCGACCACGGCCATGGTGGCCATGGCGGCCATGGCGGCCACGGCCACTCTGGTCATCACGAGCTGTGAGGCCTCGGCGTGCTGTGTTTGAGTGAAGGCCCGTCCTTCTGTTTTCGTTCGGTTGCCTATGAAGATCTGGTCTGGAATCGTTGCAATGCGCAGAATCTAGGGGGAGCAAGATGACTTGCCAATAGATACATCATGTTACTGTTAGAAAGTGTTTGATCGACCAAACAATTATTGCGGTTTCTTTGATACTGAAACCCAGCTATGCGTGCATGATACACTGGCTGTTTCTGTCTCTATAAATGCACAGATGTGTTCGCAGAGTTTGGTTCAATATAGCTGCAAGATTTTGACATGATGCACCATAGCATGCACAGACGGGCCCGCACCTCTCCCTCCCTCTCTCCATCTCTCTCTCTCTCTCTGTCTCTCTCTCTGTCTCTCTCTCTCTCTCTCTCTCTCTCGCTCTCTCTCTCCATCCATATCACTTCATCGCTCTTTGCTTGTCTCGTCTGCATTCGTGAACATCTGTTGTATGCCTGTGTGCGCGTGCCTGTGCGTATGTTTGGTGCCTCTTTATGTACGGGTCTCTACAGGTACAGGCCGGGAGTTGTGAGGCATCTTCCTCTTTTTTCCGCTGAAAAGCCTGATGGTCGACTTAAACCAACCATCGCGTCGCAGGGAGCACGTCGTTGCATTCCCTTCTGGACAAAGTTTACCAAAAAACAGATCACCGTCCGTCGCATTCATGATCGTAGTCACATTGCTCGACAATGGGTATCATTTCTCCTGCGTCAGCGGCAGAATTCCCTTACAGTAGCACCACTGTCGTCATCTTCGTGGTTGACATGAGGGCATGCCTAAGGAGAGTCAGGGCGTTTAACCGGAACCCAGCAGCTTCGTTATGAGCGCTGCTGGAGGAAGCGAGTGCCATTCATTGACCACCGCTTCTGCTGCTACGGCTGCGTTTGGTAGCTATTGGCTACTGGCTGCTATTTCTACTCCACCACTACGACTGTACTTCTACTGCTGCAACTTTTCCTCCTTCCTCCTCCACCTCCTCCTGCTCCTGCTCCTGCTGCTGCTGCGATCGCCACTGCTACCGCTACTAGTGCTACTCCTACGACGGCTATCGCCCCCTAGCAGTAGCAGGAGCAGCAGTGATAGCAGCACCAGCAGTAGCAGCAGCATCAGGAGCAGCGGCAGTGGTAGTGGGATTGCCGCTACTTCTCCTGTTGCTCCTGTTGCCGTCCTCATGATGCTGCCTGATTAAAGCTGGTGGCGACTAGAGGATCGCAATCATGACTAAATTGTCACGTCCGTTGCTATTGGCACGGTAGCACTGGTCGGAGTGCGCTGCAGCGGTGCTAATCCTGCGGGCCTGGTGCAGGTCCTATTGCCGTGCTGCGCCACTTGAGGGGTTGGGGAAAAAGCTTGCGTGCACCTACCCTGCTTGAGCTTGATTGTGGGGGTTCTATGTTTGCGAGTTACGTGTGCCACGGGATGGGAGCCCCGAGCAGCATGCAATGACTTGATGCATTGACAGTACTTAACGGCTCATGCCTCCGGCTAGAGCGAGTGAGAACTGAAGCGGTAGGACTGCTGCTCCCCGCCAGCGAATGTCAAACATGGGGGTGGCAGGTCCCGGGTAGTATAAGGAGGACGGGAATACGTGGCATGCCAAAGGCCGCAGTCCAGCAGTCAGCATAACTCGAAAATCTCAATTGCCAGGATGCCCGCAGAGCTTTGCAAAGTTTGTGCGCTTGTTCAGGACAGTGTTTTCGTCGCTCTCCACGACATTTGAACTCAGCAATGGCTTCATGCTTAGTTCTGTTTAAACAGTTCTGATTGGAATGGGCAGACTATCAGCCTGGCAGGTCAATGCCTTTCATATCCCAGCAAAGCATCGGAACTATTTAGCAACTCCCGGTGCATTGATATAGACGTAGAATTGCATGCTCAGCTCCACGTGCCGCATGATGCTGCGGTAACACCCGAACTGGATTTGTTTTCCTGCCATGCACGTAGGAGTTTGAGAGAGACATCACTTTGGCAAGCCAAGCAAGCCAGGAGCGTTGGAACCAAAGTAGCGTTGCGCGCCATGGCCTCGATTTTTCGCTCGATGGCTCAGAACTAGGTTTTGGATGAACACGCGGCTCTCTCCATGAGAACGAGGGCCTGCCGCCCATTCATTCTCGGTACGGACATGGCGAGGACAGAATCCCCAGATGGGTGCAGTTCCCGCGCGCTGTCTTCTTGTCGAGCCCTGGAGGAGTTCAAGGCTGACAAGCCCCAGAACCGCAAAGGCAGCACGCACGAGGCGCTCGCTGTTCCTTAGTTGCTTGGGGTTGCCGGAAAATTTGTCTACGGAGTCTCCAGTTCCGCTGCGTGGTGCTACTGCTAGTTCGTACGGTTCGGTTACGAGGCTCTTGACGAGGGTAAGCGCATTCGTTGCCCAAGGCAGTGACGAAGAGTTATCCCGACCCTCGCCTAGCTTGTCTGGGAGACACCGAAACTTTGAACCTTAAGCCTATACATCTCAAAAGGAGGCCAGAAATCGTAACTGAAAGGTCCGGGCTCTCTCGGTTTGGGGAGGATCCTCGTGTTTCCAGCTGGTGCATCTGTGAACTCTTGGAGTTCTTAGTTGAAGTTCAGCTCGTTTCGATGTGAAGGTTCCGTTAACCGTACATATACATACGTATCAAGCACAATGTAGCTATGTACTCAAACTCACACTTCAACAGCTGGGTTCAATCTTTAACGTAGGTTATGTTGTTTCTTTGCTAGTTTCGCTGTCCGTTTGAAGTGTCATCGCACGGTCTTTTAAGTCTTGTGCTTCTCACTGTTGAGACGGCTCTGTTCTGTTGTCACGACTATCATTGCCATCATTGCTACTACCACGATTACCACCGAAAAGTATTTTGCTGCAATTTCCCCATATGACTGTGCGAAGTGCGTCTTTCTTTGCTGACGTGTGGAGTCAGTCAGATGACACCCTACTCCAACTTGCCGATAACCCCGGCAAGCTCTCAGATGCTTTCCTAGGATTTTGCGCTGCTGTTGAGTTATTACCTTGCAGGGTACAGGATGTGAAGTGAACCTCATCGATGGGAGCTGGCTGACTGTCTCTAGCGTGTAGCTAAGACTTATGTATGTAACGTAGACTATGACCAGAAACATCACACGCCTTGACAACCACCGAGAATCCCCGTGCTTCAGGCATTTCGCTACTGCTGCGGGCCCTGTGCTGCGCGTCGACGGCTCCATCGCGCCGGCATGTTCTGGCATGCTTCCGGGTGGTACGGTTGATGATATAAATCCAGCATTACGCATAATGAGGAATATGCCATACTTCCCATAGTTTAGGGTCTCAAGGCAACGCAGGATGTATATCATCATCAACCGTAGTTTAGGAGTCTTGGGTTTCAGGACGTAGGACCGTAGCTTTTTTCCGATATGAGTTCCAGGGCAGAGGGGCTGAGGCTTGGGACGTCCCCGGGGGGGGGGGGGGGGGTCGGAGGCCGAAAGCCACTCAACTTCAAAGCCCATGAAAGGCGCCGAAGACCTTTGTAAAGCAGTTCAGAACCCTAGGCATCCCCACAAAACTGCAAAGCTTATGAGGGTAGGTACCTTGTGTTGCAGGCATGTGGGGTAGGCTGTGCTGCAGTGCAAGACCTCATCCCGTAGCTCATTTCTCAGCTTTCGCGCCCATTTTTGCGTATCCCTCTTATCTTCTGACTCGTCGAGTGCGAGTGACAAAAATCCCTGATATCTTCTGTTGATGGAGGTCATGCGTGTGCCAGCACTGGTATCTCACGGTAGCAAGCAAGACCTCATCAAGCCGTGCCTGCCTTGTGCGAGTGTGCAAATCGAAAACCGACAAGCTTTAGACTGCAAAGCGCTACTAAATGCCCTAAACCCTGGTTGCCTTGCCTGCCTTATGCGAGTGTGATGATCGATCCGCTTCATCCCGCAAGCACTACGCCACAGAGTCAAGTCCCAGTCCCCAAACCTGGAAGACCTTCGACAAACTAACCACGTACCTTCAAATGAAACTCTAAACCAAGCTAAAGCCTTGAACCTAAGCCACACCAAACGCAATTAAGCCGTTTTGGGGCAAACATATATAAAGCCAAAGCCGAACTCCAAATCGGCAGCTGTAGAGCCCTGGTGCTTGTCCCGTGGCCAGGAACGTCTGCTCGCAGAGCTTCGCTCATGGCTCAGCTATCCTTAAACTACCAAATATCTGCTTGTCTGGGATCCCTGCAAATTCCATCTTGGGGTTGATAAGGATGACCTACAAAATAATAGGTGATGGTAGCTTGAGGTATGGTTCAGGTTGTTCGGTTTGGAATTTCAGGTTTAATTAGTGCCACATGCATTCAGGCGATTGCACAAGTCCTGATGCAAAAGGTTTAGGGCACTGGGGGTTGCGAACGATGCTTTGATTTGCCAGGCTTGAGGCGGCTTGAGGTTCGGACTCAGAGGCTTAAGAGTCATGGGCTCGGCGTGTAGATTCGGACGCGAGTGGAATCATTCTGCGTCGGTACTGATGAGGGGCACGAAAAGGACAGCAGTTTCCGGAATGGCTGCCAACCGGTACTGTACCTACAAGAGCCACTTTCATCTTATCCGCATAGCCATAGACGTCCGATATAGATTATGAGCAGAAGAGATGCCTGGCAAGATCACGACCAGCAAGAACATAGCTCGTCCCAGTTTGCAGGTCCGATGACGTCGGAGGCCCAGCACACGACAAGCAGCCTCCCAAAGATTTTTCCAGAGTCCATTTAAGTGCGGTTATTCCTCTTTTGAGCAGTTGGTGCTTGGGTGGGGAAGGCGTCAGCACTCGAGGGCAGCAGCCTAGCCTACCTACTACAAGTACCGCCGGAAAGAGACCAGCACCCAAAATTACAGAGCCCCATACTCGACGTGAAGTTGTCGTACGACTTCGTCGGCCTTGTTTTGCTTTGCATCACAGGAGTTCACAGTAGTAACGACCCGTCAGAGGACCAAGAGCTGCAAGAGTGAGAACGCCTTCACGACGGTCCTGAAGCCGAAGCGTCTAACCCTAAACCCCCCTTTTAAGGCTTTCTTTCAGAGACTTCGCGGGATCAGGAGGAAAAAGGACCCAAACAAAAAACCAACTTAAGCCCCAAGCCCCGAGCAGCGCGAGGAAGGACTTTCTCCAAGCTGCTACACTCCGGACAGTGGGCCAGGTCGGTATGCGTTTCAGAAGGTTTGCTTGGACTATTGTGCCTGTGGGCTTGAGGGGCTTTGGGGTTTAAGGCTCTCAAGTGTGGCTTTGAGGCAGGTGGAATGTTGGTAGTTGAGCTTCAAACTAAATGATTATTAAGTTCATGGTTTGGCAGCTTCCATAAAGCAGGCCGGGCTTGCGACGACACTTCAGATTCTGGCGCAGCTCCGGCAGGGAAGGCGGGTGTATGAACAACGGCGTCTGTTACGTTGTTCAGGTTTTCGTGGTTGAGGTCCCGTTTACATTGTCTGCAGTACAGTGTTTTGAGGCTTGTCCGAAACTTTTCGGATCGAGCAAGAGCTGGGTCATTCCAGGAACAGGAGGGAAGTCTTTCGGTTGATGGCTCTGAGCTCTCTTATGTCTGTAGCAGCGGGTTCGTCATTGCTGGGATGATGAGAATGGTGACGAGGCTGACGGTCGCAAGGCCAGCTAGGGTCTTGTCAGGGCGGCTGATGGAGACTCGGTCTGTTGCGAGAATCAAAACCTTGCGTTGGAGTTGTAGCCGCAGCCCGCGTGAGGCAAGCTGCCTTGTTCAGCCTGGAGTATGGAGAGCCGGAGCAACGCCCTTGGTGGAAGACACGGCCCTCAGCCTTACACTTTCAAGGAAGTGCCCTCCCCTTCGACCCTAGCCTACCGCGAATCTCTCGTTAGGCCGAGCGGGCCGCTGCCGTAGCCCGAGCAACCAAACTCTCAAGTGTGAAGCCTTGAAGCTTTAACAGCCACTCTGCTTGAGACCATGGACCGAGGTACTCTTGGCCTTTTCATGCAGCCCATCTGTGATTTCTGCATGAACGAAAGCGATTCACAGGAGGGCATGCCCATTCTGCCAGAACCTCCCCAAAAACGGACAGACTACAATAAGAAGTTTATGTTTCAGGCCCGTGCAAACAAAGGTATTTGTAGTCAGAAGCCCCGGAAGCGGCCCAAGTGATCCTCGTATCGTACCTGGTTCTTAAGCAGGCCCTTTCGGGTCGCTTCAACCCGAGGCCCGTGACCAGACGCAGCGGTGAAACCAGAGGAGAAGGCCGGCAAAAGTTTCAGAGTTTGGGGCGTATGGTTGCAATGACTTGTGTTTTGAGGCGACTGTGTGAGTTGTATCTGTCGGATTGAGGGTTCTGGCTTCTGTTTTCAATCTCCACGGGCCGTGAGGGTCTTCGGCACGTTTTGCAAGGTGGAGGGTGGGGATGCTGGCGCGATGAGGTAGCAGTCGAACTGTGACATATCTACTCGCATCGCAAGCTATGAGCTGCATGACGAAGCCAATCGCAAGCGGATGATGTCTCTGTTGACAGTCACTATTGATGACAACAACATTTTTTCTGTTCTACAACCCAAAATGAAGCTTTTGTAGACACCACCGAATGCCAACAGCTCCCCAGGTCGATGTGTTGCCAACCAGCTTCACATGCCACAGATTTTTCTTTGTGACAAAAGAGGTCATAACGACGTGGCAAAGGTCTTCGTGGTTTCACTGCTGGCCGCCCAGAAGCATGATTTCCCGATGTCTGCAATCGGATGCACATCCCGGGCATGAGAGTTGCACGGCCAAATTCCAGCAGCCTTGGTGACAAGCATATGCTGTCAGGGGGTTTCAGCGAGACTTTCAGTTTCCAATCATGCATCTGGATCATTTGTACGCCAAAGCCACTTTTCAGGTATCGAGGTTGTGACTGCAAATGCAACAACTCCCTGGCATGCATGGAGTGTTGGAGTTATACGGAGTCAAATATTCCCGACTTCCCACCTATAAGGTCGTCATCCATAAGAAGCTTACAGCGGAGCCTCTGCTGAGGCTGCCCTCTGCCAAGTGGCTGCTGCCGGAGCAGCGAAACTTGCACTCCGAGCTGACAGTGACTGAGAAGAGCTCCGTCAAGGCAAGGCGAGTAAACCCTAAAACCTACACCCTAAATCCAGCAGACAGCCTCTGCAAGCCGATCCCTAAGTAAGTTCTACGCCCGTCAGCCCTTCAACCCCACCCTCTTAGCGCCCTGTACTGAGTGAGATTGTAGCTCCGAGGATCGGGTTGGGGCTCGGGGGCCTTTCAAACTTGGGGGGCATGTGTCTACGCTGGTGGAAGGATGAAATACGAAGTCCAGTACTGGTAGCCCCCATGCAAGCCCGCCACGCAACAGCCGCGCAGTCTTTGGCCATGGCTTTGGCTGCGCGCGTGGCGCAGCTGCCATCGGACGAGCAGGTGAGCCCTCCGGCTTTAGGAAGATGTAAGGTTCGGAGTCCAGGACCAGGAAGTTTCCGGATCACAGATTAAGGTTTAGGCGGTTAGGGGCTCTGCTGGGGTCTACGGAGCCTCGTTGCAGGGAAGGGATCATGGTCTGGTGCCCCCTTCTATCCACTTGATTTCTTCATCTACGCGTTTTCGCATCTCCATCTTTGCGCATCCGTGTCTCTGTCTGTGTCCATGTGAACCGCGGAGACATCCCTTATATAAGCATCAGGCAGCAGATCAATTTGAGAAGCCATAATGAACATGCAGTGTTTTCGCGACCATGGACACGCGGAACACGGTACTTTGCAAACGTTTGCGGTCAAAGGTAGTATTCGCAGCTGGTACAGCGCCCCAAACTTCGTGTCACCTGTTGATCTTTGTTGCAGATTTCCCCCGTTCTGGTCTTACAGAGGTACCCCGGCAGTGCCGAGACACGTAAACCGCAACTCGGTGCGACCCGCCCAAGCCCGGTAGGCCCCTGTCCTGTGTTTTCAGGGTTCGGCCAGGCTGTCGCGCTCAGTGTCGACTTGCGCATCCATCAGACGGCTGGCAGCCCAAGTCCGAGTGCAGTAGCTCGACAGGGCTTTCGGGGCTGACGGGGCTCGACGTGCCCAAAAAGTACGTCCTTGTCCTTGTCTTGTCAAGCTACTTAATATGTGCGCACGTTGCCACATTGCACGCATTACGGCCTGCCGAGGAGTATGTTAGCTGAATCGAGCGACTCGAACGCCACTTGCAATTCTTGTACCAGCTGTGAGGTTAGATGGCACAGACTGCTTAAAGCAGCCTATGCCGTCGCCACAGCTCACGAGTGGCAGGCCAGTCCTGGACTCCTGGGGCGATGGCCAAGCCTCTTTAGCGTAAAGCCCACATCCTTAGAGAGCTAGTTGTCCTGAGCGATACTAGACACCACCTTGCTGATGCTCCTCTCAGATCATTGACCTATGCTATAAACCCGGCCTTTAAGCTCAAGTTAAGACGGCTCTTCCTCGGAAACGGCACAGGCTCCTGTGATTCTGTTCATGCCACACACAGCAAATCAAGGTGTACCGCAATCAATACTTCCTGTCTCCTGCAGCTTCATGCGCTGTCGAGAGTGCTTTGTGATCATACAAGAGTTGAACACCTTCATGCTGCGCTCACGTTTGCGATTCAATCCGGCTGCTTTCAGGCTGGATTGCTTGTGGGGTAGTGCAGGAACTGGAACCAGAGTATTCATCCAATTAGAAGGCGCATGACGCATGTGTGCCAGGGTCGTCCTGACTTCGGGTTGCAGGTAACGAGCAGTTGCGGTTTTCTCAATGACCAAGGCGCCCCAACAGGACATTGACGTTCACTTTCGACAAACTCCCTATCGCCATGGCCGCCATGGCGTTCTAGCATGAGCTCTTATCGCTTCGCAAATCTTCTGGGCACGACCTACAAGGGCGGAGGAATCCAGCCCTTTGCCCGGCTTAATTGTAAATTATCAAGGTCGAGCGCAAGTGCGAAAAAATGTATTCAGGATGCAAGATAAGGGGCTTCTTCCTCAATAATTGCGACCGCGTCCGGCAGCGGGCAATGGACAGTCGGACACCATCTTGTGGGCGTGAGTTTTGCGTTGTGTGCTTTGAATCGAGTAGGGACCGGGCGAGCCTTTCGCATTGCACCTTGACGGTGAAGCTGTTCTTACCCAGAGCCTCTTCCGAAGAAAGCCCTCTACAGATTGCTCGGCTACCTTGCGGTATTTGACAGCCGGGGGCCTTTTCGTTGTAAGTGTTTTGGGAGGAGTCCAGCGGAGGATCCTATACTCCAAGGGCCAAGGGTCTAGTTTTGCGGTCTTGAGTCAGATATTTACCTGTTGAATGGGGCGCGCGCGCCTGAGGTTCACTCCTGACGGAAATGTCTTGCTCAGCCCCGTGGGGAATCGCATCAGCGGCGTGGACCTGGTGCAGGACTCCTGACAGGAATCTTTCAGGATTCAGGCTTTGGCGTCGCATATTGCGCCCGTAAGCCGCCTGCCAAAGTCTACATAAGAGGAGTGTTCGGCGGAACTGAAATCCCTTCTTCACGTCCGTATCGCCGATTAGCATACACGGTGAAGCTACTCCAGTGAAGCTACTCTGAAGGGAACCCAAAGCTACAACAACCCCTACATCTGTCACATTTCACCAATGCAAATGCTTCGATTGGGATTCGAAAACGAGCCTGAAGAGCATTGCTTCAATCCTATAGAATTGATGTCCCCCGAGTCCTCAATTCCCGAACCGTGGAACATGCACCAAGAGGTGTCGTTACTGGTGCTGGGTCAGTTTAGGAGACCCTCAATTCGGAACTTCTCTTTAGAATTGAGCGTTATACGGCCGAGGGGGGCAGGAGGGTCGGGGACTTGGCGGTGAGGTGCCTTCAGGATTTTGTCTTTGGTGGGTTGGGCCAGTTTGAGTTCAGCACTTTCGTTCTTCAGCTTCTCATTCTTGGAATCACGTCAAGTGATCCCTTTAGGAAGTTTGTGCATAGGATCTGAGTTAAGGCGCCTCCCCTCGCTCAGGGTTTGGATTTGGGCGGGTGGGCAGGGATTGGCAAGCTGGCGATAGCATGAAACTTCTGTACAGCCTTGCCCAAAGTGACGGAGTTGTCAGAGCGTGCCCTGAGCCCTGAGCTTTTCGTGCTTTGGCGTTATATCCGATATGTTTATATATGTATATGAATATATTTTTCTATTTGATTGTACAGGCTGGTGAGAATGCTCTGCAGCGGGACGAGAAGACCATGAACTCTTTAGATTTGGTTTGGGCTCAAACTGATTCTCTGTTCTGCTTTGGCTGTGTAGTTGGACCAGTCATCGTGAAGCCGTGCCTGCCTTGTACGACTGTGATAGGCGAAACTCCGCTGGCTCTAACCCTAAGCTGGCTCTAACCCTAAGACCCCAGAAAAACCCAGAAGTCACTGCCTTCAAGGGTCGATCGGTGACTCTGGCGCCCGAGAATCGGGAGGACGTCGCGGTGCTGGCACTGACGGAGGCCGTTTCGAAAATTCGCTAGGCCCTTTTTCTCATGTATCCGAGAGGAAGACCTCGTTTCTTGTCAAGGTTCCTGCGTGTTTGTAAGGAGGGATTCTGCAAAAGCGGCTTTTGACAGATGGGTTCGCAAGTTTGAGGCAGTAAAGCCAGAACATGTAGGAAGTAGGATTCAGTCTTCTTCTTGTTGGCTGTTTTTTAGACCCTCGGATTGTGTAGCTTGGCTCCCCTTACAGAAGAAGACCACTGCGGAAAACTTCGCGTCTCGAACAAGAAGCGCCATCATCATCATCATCATCAACAATTGTGTCTCATCCTCTTCGTTACTGCTACAACAAGTTTAATTTTCATCATCGCCCGCAGCAGCCTCGTCATCATCACCATGACTATCCGCAGCATCCTCCGACTTACTGTCGTCACAACCACCTGTGCTGCCGAAGCTGCCCATCCGCTACCACAACCACACCGCAAGCCGCCTATAACCTACCTCTTGTTGATGTTCAGCGTACCCATGCTGCCGCCGTCATCACGATCCCCTCCATTACCCTCATCAGCCTCAACTTGATGGTGACACTTGCCTGTTGATGATGGTCAGGATGATACAAGTATCGGTCGTGGCGACAGTTCTGCGATGACGAAGACATGGCACAGACCATGATGACGATGACCACGACGGCAGCGACGACCGACGCCACTGTGAGAGCTTGAAGCCTGGCAGGATGCACGACTCCTCCTCTCCGTCGACATACACGGCCATGCCACTCGTTCGGCATCGTTTCCGAAAGGTTTCAGCGACAGGCTTCAGGGACTCAGGGCTGTGCTGGCAGGAAGTCCAGGACCGAGCTCTCTTGTAAATCCTCGGCTCAAGTCCGAAGCCGAGCCCACGGCTTCACTCCGGAAGTCCGAGCAGAGTCGAAACACCGCGCCGGCCACAAGTCTTCTAAGCGTGCACGAGTTAGATGATCGAACTTCTGCGGCGCAGTGGAGTTTCAATGGCGGCTCAATATCTAGCATTTGTAGCTCCACTAAATTTAGAGTAGCAGAAAGCAGTGGCAGTATCAGTAGCTGTGGGAACTCAGAAGCATGCTGGAGTTGCTGCCTACTTAGTTGGAGCTAGCAGTTGCTACCTGCAGTACTACTAACTTCACGTATCGCATTTGCCTTTCTCCAACGCGTCTTGTGTTCACCCATTTTTTCAATGCGATACTTCTGAAATATGCTATTACGGAGTAGAGTCTTCATCAGTACAGTTTCAGCTTCTACCGTTCCGAGGCATTGCTGATCAACTTCGTTCGGTGCAGCATCCTAACGAGGATCAATTTCAAAGCCCGCGTGCAAAGTGCCAAGTGGAGTCCAGATGCCCGATGGCTCCTTCGCCGCATGAAGTGTGAAAGGCCTACTAGCTTGCTTGACTCTGACTCGTTTCGGAGGTAGTTCACATGTCTGCGGGTGAAATGCTCGGCTTTTGTTTCATACGCGTGCACTTTCCATCCATGATCCTCAAACGGGAAACGCAGCTCTCATCCCCGCAGCTTCGCAGAGCGAGCCCCTTCAATGCTGCGAATGCATATCTCAGGCTCATCGTAAGCCATGGGCGGAAAATCCAGCTCTGGAGGCGCACTGGGGTTGGTAGTTTTTGAGGGGCTCCAAGCTGTGCGCATTTGACGCAAGAAATTTTCACGCAAGAAATAGACGAAGAGATTGAGTGAGAGAAAACGAAGTACAAGAGAGACAAGGTCAATAAGCTGGGTCGGGCACAGATCGTTGCTGGCTTGGGAGTTCAGGACTGATGTAGCATGTAGCATACTTCAAAGTAGCACGGGCAGTGTTGCTTTTGTTCTTGCCTTTTATGAATGGATCCAAATACCAAGGGTGCTGTCATGAAGGTTGTGGTTTGTTCATGCCCCTGCATGCGTTCAGTTGCTAGTGGCGCAAGCTTTCCGAGTTCACGGAATGTAAGTTCCAAGAAGAGGGTCAGACAGGTCACGAGGCTTGATGCAGAAAGATTTCTGCAAACTATAAACATCATACCGGCATATCGGGATTCTGGGCCATAGACTCTCATCGCCAAACCTATGCTTTGACTCAGGACTCCCACGGTGGAGCTTGGTTGGCAATTCGTGAAGGAGCGTGTCACCGCTGGGCACCACGACGATGTGGTTGACTTGTCGTGGAGCTCCGACTCCAACTTCTTCGCTTCCGCTTCGAAGGACCTAGGATTGAAAGCAATGTCGATCCAATCGGTTCCATGATAAAGCCCCCAGCTCTTTGAGAAAGACCGAGAAAAGAACTACTGATGCCACCGGTTTCTGTTGCGATGATCCGAAGACGAGACGCCTTATTCCCGAGAATCCAGTCTCAAGAGGACGGTACTGTGCGGCTGTCGGCCGCACGCCGGCACGACGGGTTTCAACCCATGGCGCTGCTTGCTCCTCACCTGGCAATACCTGGCATTAAAGCAGACTGTAGACTCTGCACTAAACGTGGGGGGCCAGGGGTTTTGCACGTCACACCAACTCCTAAGGCTCTAAGGATTTTTGCGGTCGAGCCTCCAGCAAGTCTTGTCAGACAAAGGATGCAGGGGATGTGTTCCCATGCGGTGTGGGCTTCCACCACAGAAATCCCGAAGTCCAACGTACAGATCAGGAGGGCAAGGTGCCGCCCAAGCTCCTTCTATACTTAAAACCTACGCCCTGCTAAGTCCGCTGTGTGCGAAGCAAAAGTACCATGAAAAGCAAGTGCCCCGGTGACACTCAGGAACACCGAAGCCCAGTGACCGAGCTCAACAGTGCGGTGGGTGGTCGACGACTTGCATAGGATTTTCGAGTCTACGCATGTCTACGCATCCCATGGCGACTCAAAAACTGAATCGATTGGTTTGCAGCCACCCATGCTCATACTCCTATTCCTCATCAGCCTGACAGTGGTGAAGTCGAAGGTTCATGCCTGCTGCCATGGTCCTTCTGTTCTGTTGCTAAGGTCAGAGCGGCTTTCTTCTCCAATGACATGCAGCACATTTTCAGCATGTCGCTGAGCTGATCCGCTAGTTGTTATCCTGTGCTGGGCTTCCACAGAAAGAGGAGTGAACTCAGATTGGAGGCTTTAAAGGGAGACTCGACTTCTGAGCAGTTCCCACATGTCATGATTTCTTGTGATATGTTGCTGGCTGTGTTAAATGTCCAGTATACCGACAAACCGCGCACCTGGACTGGGCCCTGGACGCCAAACGCTTTACCTCGGCCCTGTTCTAATCATTCGGACTATCATTCGGGTGTACGACATTGTACAACCACATACTCACATACTCAGCCTGAATGAACTTCGTAAACAACTGGCTTTTCGGACGCTGTACATTTCCGACGTCTAAGGGCCAGCTAGACAACCTCTTGTCTCCCATTTCGCCCTCCGGGGCTTCCCTCGCAAGGGCTGGGCTCTGTGCACTCACGGTGTGGACCAGTGGAGGGTTCTGTCAGAAGGAGCTCCTTGAGGTTTAGATCGAGTCTTATGTATGCACACAGTTGAAAACACTTGATACACACAGACACATACATAGTTCTGTTTGTGTGTCGGATCTGACGCTGGAATTTTCGGTCTGATAGACACCGTGCAGGTCCCGCGAAGGTGTGCTGGTCTCTTGGCTGTGATGTAGAATGTAGAGTGCCTGACATGAGCTTGCATGCCGGGCAGTGTGGATTTTTGCTTGCAGGTGTCAGCCAAGTACACGCTCAAAGAGGGTGTACTCAACGACGAGGAGCACAGAGGGAAGCTCTTGTATTGCCAGCCCGGCACATGGGCGGTGGAGTCGAAAGCATATTGCCAGCAGCCCGTGAGTAACAAGGTGATGCGATGTGCCTTTGACGGCAAAGCTCAGCTCTTGGCTGTCGGCTTCAGCGCAGGTGTTTTGATGCTCTTCGAGATGCCTCAGCTTCAGGCGCTGCAGACGTTAAGTCTCGGTCAAGAGCCCCTGGATGCAGTGGCACTGGGCGCCAACGGAGACTGGCTGGCCGTGGGTAGCTCAGGCACAGGCCAGCTGCTAGTATGGGAATGGCGCTCAGAGACCTACGTCCTGAAGCAGCAAGGCCACCACTACGGAGTCCGCTGTGTGGCTTTCTCCCCGGGCTCGGTATCCATGAAGCGTGGGAAAGCCCTGGCCTCGGCAGATGCTCGGCCTGAGGATCGGAGCAGTGCCATTGGAGGTCGGCTCCTGGCGACGGGTGGCTACGACGGTAAGGTGAAGCTCTTCAATGCGCAGAGTGGGCTTTGCTTCGTCACCTTCGCAGAACATACAGCCCCAGTCAATGCTCTTTGTTTCACTCCCCAAGGCAATGCGGTGTTAAGCGCAAGCCGTGACGGCTCTGTTCGTGCCTTCGACCTTCTTCGCTACCGCAACTTTCGCACTTTCGCAAGCCCAGACGGCCTCTGTCAGTTCTCCAGTGTGGCCGTTGATTCTGGTGGCGAGATCGTGGCAGCAAGTAGCACAGGAGGTAAGTACGCCGTCTATGTGTGGTCCATCCAGACAGGGAACATTTTGGAGGTTCTCACCGGCCACACGTCCCATGTAGAGGCGCTGCACTTCTCACCTTCCGCAGCCCATCCCGGACAGCTGGTCAGTGCAAGCTGGGATGGAACGCTGAATGTCTGGGACCTCTATGCTGGCACGAAAGGTGGGTCAGCAGAAGCTTTGCAGTGCTCTTCCAGCGTCGTGGCGGTGAGCTTCGATCCGCGAGGGAGCCTCGGCCTGGGCTTTCTGCTGGGTTTTTTTCTCTTGTGGGGGTCTCCCCGAAAATTAGGGGTACCTTATTTGGGGGTCCTTATCATAAGGATCCTAGTATTGTGGGGTACTATATTAGGGTCCCCTATTTTCGGAAGCCCCCATGTAAAGCTTGGAATCATCCTAGTCAGGACCTGCTCGTAGCTTATATGGTCCCTGACACCTTTGCAACATAGTACAAGCCCCGCCCACCCCCAACAAAACACAAAACCGAGAGTTCTAGTAGGTAAGGCCGCCAGGTTATTTTGTGCATGGATGCTCCAACACTGGTTGTTTGAGCCTGACGCCAAGGAACGACCTTTGTGCCGCAGCGTGCCTTTCAGGACAAGTCTTATTCTGGAATGTGGTGACGGCACAGAACATTGGATCTATTGATGGCATACGAGACATTCAGAGCGCCAGGCACTGGCAGGACATGTTTTCTGCCATCAACGAACGTGGCCTAAAACCAGGCGCTGGCATGAAGAAGAGATTTTTGGCTGCATTGTGAGTTGATGCAGTTCTTGGGAGAAGATCTGAAAACCACATGATTACTGCAGAACCCTATTCTGGTATCTTAAACCCTGAACCCTTAAGGGAGCCCTTATAGATCCCTTAACATTAAGACAACCCCTTTTGTATCAAGAGCCCAGTCTCCAGGACGTCCCACCGATGGTGTCAACCTCAACCAGAACTTCAACTCCATCGCCTATGCCCGTAGCGGCGAGCTGCTGCTGTGCTCATCGCGAAACTCTCCCTTTGTCTCCCTTTACGTGCCTTGGGCATCAACTTTTGAGCAAGGCTCGTGTAGCCGTGTAGCCTCGAGACATGCAGAAGGTACCAGTAGGAGTCAAGGGTTCTGGCATTACTTCCGTCGGACCATGGGTTGCTTCTTTATCTTCGTATGATGGCACATACCTACATATCTTGTGATGGTACATGCATGCATGGATTGCTGCATCGACATGTATGTGTGCGTGTGCGTGTGTGTGTGTGTGTGGGTGTGTGTGTGTGAGAGTGGTTATACGTTTCTAGGGACAACAACCTACTACAATGCAAGAGTTGCTCTCTTACATGACGGTACATTCACAGGCACACACACACACACACGTGTTATATGTATAAATACAACATTCAAAATATGTTTATGTATTTTTTGTTCGTATTTCTGTACACCCATAATATATATTATACGTGTGTATGTGTTCGTGTTTGTTTGTTTGTTAGTTTATATAATTATAATGACAGCAGTCAACTACAAGGGTTGCATCATGCTAGGACACCTCGGCATACACCCTGGCGGCTCGCGTGACGCTCACCACGAATCGGAGCCTTAGTGGCGTGCAGTCATTTCTGAACAGAAGCTTGGCAAAGCTTAATTGCTTAGTTTGGTAGTCTTGCGATTACTTGTTCTCAGGATAACTACCGCCTCTTAACTTCCCTCTGTCTGTCTCTCCTTGCCCCACAATCTTCTCCCTGTTCGCAAGTCTCTCTTTCTCTGCCCTGGCTCCCACTATACCCTTAATATAGGCATTATATACCCATTATATAGCCCATTATAGGGTAGGGGTCCCCATTAATATCCACCTACAGGCGGATGTGCAGATGACATCCAAAGTATTGAGACTTCCCACCCAAGCTCAGTCATGGCCAGGTGCCGGACTGCACTCGTAGTCTTCTAATAGTAACAGTAGTAATAGTAGTATTAATAGTAATAGTAGTAATAGTAGCAATAGTCGTAATAGTCGTAATACTAGTAAGATTTAGGGAAGTTCGTGGGCCCACTCGACAGTGCCAACGAGTTCCCACCAGCTTCCGGCTTCCCAGCCTCAATGACCTTCCTTTCGCTCCACCAGCAACTTCCGCCCGGGTACCGCTTGCACGGTCTGCGCTCTCCCACCAGGCAAGCTTATGACGGAAGCCGGAGCACCCTGGCAACAGTACGATCTTTCTGACAGCGATGCTGACGACGCTGAGGCCAGGGTGTGGGACAGAAGGCCACCTTCACACCAGGTAGTGTCTAGAGGAGGTGCAGTGAAGCTGGCCAGGTACTGCCAAGTGCTAAGCTAATTAGCGAGCTCTAGACGGCGGCTCAGTCAAGACCACTTGCCGGTGCAGTGTGAGCTCTTGAGTCCGAGCAGAGAGGGTCGAATTGGTTTTAGGGTCCCTGGAGATGAGGGATGCTCACGTTTTTTGCGTGGATACTACGTCATACGTCAGATGCTTTTAGTCCGAGTTGTTGCCACGCTGTGACACTGTTGTGAGTATGATGCCGCTGATAGCAAGCGAGACAGCCACTATATGCCACAATTATATGTATATATATATATACATATATATTTACACACACTTATAATACATGTATGTATCTATGTCTATGTGTGTATATATATATATATATATATTGAAAATGATCGATATAATCGGTCAAGGGACTTTTGATCCTTTGCTGGGGCCTCCCCACTCGCCCCCTGCGGTTGCGGCTCGGATCCTGGCTCAAACAGGGGTTGCACCGTCATTTCTGCCCCCCACCCATTCCCATCGACCCTGCCCCCCCCCCCCCAACCAGGCCCTGCCCCCCCCCCCTGAGATGTAACCTGGACGTGTATCCCCTCGCTAGGCGTACAGGAACACAGGCACTCAGGTGTCTCTTTTCCTACAGGCGCACAGCTGTAGTCCACTGCACTAGAACCTTGAGCAACAGGCATGGATACATGCAAGTGATACGTGAAACAGACAGGCACCTGGATGTGTAACATTCAGTGTTTCAACCAGGCACAAATTTAAAACACGTAGAGCTGCATGGCCGTGGAGTCGGCAATCTACAAGCCTGTTATTGCTCTTGGTCGAATTAGCGGAGTATTGAGCTACATCTGCGACTTGAAGAGAATCTATACATCTCTAGCCTGAAGACAGCTTCAATGAAAAGAGCAGAACACGCACGAAACGCAAACGGATCTTCAACTGAAAACTTTTGCTTGAAAGTTGCCCACTTGTGTTTCAGTTCCCTCTCCAGGCGGAAAGCATACTGTAACATAAAGGTGTAAAGCTTAGCTTTACTTGATGCCAGCATGACATCTTGCGGCAAGGCAAATATATAAGGGCATTAGAAGTATCTTATCCTGAGATAAGTATCTTCCTTTGAGAAAGAGTTCTTTAGGAAGTACCTTTTCCTGAGAAAAGCATCTCCCTATGAAATGGCGAATGCTCAAAGTGGATACCTTCTTATGAAAGAAGCATTCCGTGAAACACACAGCCAGTTCAGTCGACGAACTCTAGGTCTGCATCCCAGGTTCTATCACGCCAATGATCCTCACCATGCCAACGGTAGATGTCGACAGTGTGAATCGGCATCACCGGCTGATGACGAACAGGGTCGTAACCGCGGGGATCAGCAGGGGATCTAGGTAGCGATATCTGTGGATCTGGAGCAACGTCTCCAACTTGTTCCAAAGGAACTTCTTCAGAACCATTGTCCATATCCACGTCCGAAGAATCGGAACCTAGTCAGTTCTTCCCCTTGTTCTTGCCCTTGGACTTGTCCTTGGATTTGCCTTTGGACTTGCCCTTGTCGGCGTCCTTCCCTTTTCCTTTGGAGGACTTGCCTCCTTTGCCGCCTTCTTTGCCACCAGGAGGTTGTGCGGGTTCTGGAGGACGTTGAGAACCAGAAGCTTTAGCACCAGAAGCTGCCTCTTCCTGAGAAGAGCTTGCTCCCTGTGGTGCGGCTGCAGGACCAGTAGAACCAGAACCACGCGCCTTGTTCAGCTTCTGTCTCTCTTTTCTTCTGTCCGCGGCTTCCTTCATGGTGTCGGGATTGCGGTTGAGCGCTCTCATCCTGCCTCCAGAGTACTGGTTCGCGTGAACCTCGATGAGGAGCGGAGTGTGAGCGTCATAGTCCCGATCGTTGAGAAGGTACGCGGCGCTGGTGGAGTTTAACAGCCACTCAGAGACATGGATGTCGAACTCATTCTTTGAAGACGGAAACTCCGCCCATTGATCGTCCGACATGCTGTGTCCCCATTCCATGACTGTAGCCATAACAGGATCCAAACCAGGAAAGGTATTCCAGTCTGGTTGCTTAGCTTCCTTGTATGGCATTCCCAGCGTGTCCTCATACTGTTTCAGAAGCCACATGGCGTTTGCTGACACATGTCTCGCACGAGGCGAACAGAGGTGTGGGCACTTTGGGCTTTCTGACCATGCCTCCAAGAAGTAGTCGAGAAGGCTTTGGTACATCCCGCCACGAATATCCATCGACTCCTGCTTTCTGCCGGTGGCCCGGTAGAGGGCCATGTTGGCGTCGCCACCGATGAGGTCGACTTGGTAGTGCAAGCAGTCGATGAACATGTTGCCCAACACTTCATGAGCCAACGCCACCTTGTCTGCCGCCGCGTCGTTGTGGAGGTGGAAGACACAAACTCTCAGCCGGTCGGATCCAGCTCGCTCCAAGACCTTGGTCAGTGACTCATCTGGAACATCACCACGACTGCCCTGGAGACCGGTCGGTAACGTCATGCCATACACGATTTCCGCGACCATATAGGTTATTGGAAGGGACTCGTGGGCATATCCACTGAGAGTGGAGCCGGCAAGACGTGTGATCGAAGATCCGACACCATTTGTACGACTTCCCACCATCAGGTCCTTGGACTCGTTACGAAGGAATTGCCAACCGCGTGACTTGAGGAAGGCCTCTTCGGAGTCATCGATCTTAGCCGCTTCGCAGAGCATGAACAAATGCGTCTTCGACTGTGCAATCGATTTTATCAAGGCTCCTTTAGATGGTGTAGCATCGTCCCAGTCAATGTGATCAGCAACGGAGCGAGGAGCGGTACGCTTTCTTCCCCTGCTCATGTTGCCGAGATTGAGGATGAGCGCGGCATACTTGGTCTTGCTGGTGAAGATAGGGACATTGGAGTCCTCTGCCAGACCAAAACGATGAATATAAGGATTCGGCGTCTTCTCAAGAGAGAGGTCCCCGATCTCCTCTTCATCGACTCCGGCGCTCAAGAAGTAGTGAAGCATAGCATTCAAAAGTTCTTCTCGAGTTGCCGGATTGCCGCTTGCATCCAGGGACTTCAGCTTATCAAGAAGTGCTTCCATGACTTCCAGTGCTGATTCTCGGATGTCAGAGGCCTTGCCCATGAGCTTGTCGTCCAAGGTGCTACGAACGTCCCCAGAACGAAAAGCAACGTTCTTCTTGTCGGGACGACGCTCATAGATGGGATCCATCTTGTTGAGTTGGTCGAATAGATCCACCATAGAGAGAGAGTATTTCTGTCCCTTGTGGTTTGGAACATTTACCCTCCAACTCATATGCTGCACCTTGTAGGCGAGAACGGGCTCGTAATCAGGATCACGAAGTCCTGTATGATACAAGCCTGAATAGCCATATCCATGCAGCTGCTTGCAGAGCATCCGCATAGGGCTTTGTCGTTCGATTTCGGTGAGCTGCGTAAGGAAATGTTTGAACTCTTCGAGATCGACGAGCTCGATCTTTTCCTTTGCTTTGCCCATCTTGTCGAACGCGTTCTCATTCTGGTCCTCTGCATCCTTCGCGGCCTGGTAGTACTCAGGATCCGGAACGGTCTTGCATTTCCCCCAGATGCCTTGATCGTGAAGTTCACTTTCATCATCCTTCTCGGGAGAAATGTCTGGCATGGATTCCTCACCCTGTGGTGAGCCTTCCTCAGCCATTTCGACGTTCTCGGACTTACCTCCTTCCTGACCCATGTGCGCATCAGGTTCGACCTTCACCTCGGATGCCTCTCCCTGTGGAGAGCTTTCCGTGGCTTCGGTCTTCTGTTGTGGAACATCCACCCCAGATGCCTCCCCATGTGGAGAGCTTTCCGGAGCGTCCGTCTCCATTGGCTCGACAGTAACCCCAGATGCCTCTCCCTGTGGAGAGCTTTCTGGAGCTTCAGTCTCCATTGGCACATCGGTCGGCTCGGTCTTAACCGGATCAACCTTCTTGCCCTGTGGCAAGTCCGTGGATCCAGACGACGGTTCGGAGGTATCCATCTGAGTAGCCGCGGGAGGCTCCTCGATCTCCTCGATCTGTGGACATGGGAGTCGCTCGATGAACTCCTCGATCATAATGTCGTCGTATGGTCGAGTGAGGAGCTCATTCAGCTCAGACTCCTTCTTCGCCTTCAAGTCTTCGTACGCCACTAAATCAGCTTTTGCCTTGCGGGCGAAAGCCGACTTGAAATCGCGCTGGTCAGACTCCGTGAAGACTTTCTCCAGAACCGCCAGGAGGTAGCTGCCGTTGAACGGCTGCTTCAGGGTACTGTCATAGAGACAATAGCCCTCAGGGGTTCGCACCGTGTATTTACGGCGAACCTCCAGATCACCGGCGTGGCGCTGGATGTAGGAGAAGAAGTCCACTCCATAAGCCTCATTGATGACGCGGACGAGCATCTGGAAATCCTCTCGCACATAGCCAACCTCTTCATACACATACCTTTCCCTGAGGAAAGCCTTGTGTGCGGCGAGCTTGCGAGAGTAGTCGGGATCCTCTGTCCTTGGCATCTTTGCACGAGAGTCATTGTCCCGAGGGCGATCGAATCCAATGTTACCCAAATTGGGCCTGAATTCGTTCGACGCGGCAACGGAGACATCGTCCAGCATCTGGGCAAGACCGCCAGGATGACGCTTAAAGTTCATCCAAGGTGACGTGTAACCGTTGGAGTAAACCTTCGGTTTCTTGTCCAGCTCCACGAGGTAGTTCCCCTGCAACTTCCCCATCTCGAAGGCCTTGAGGAAGAAGTGCAGGGAGTACCCCGAAAGAGGATGCTGCAACCACGATGCCCAATCGTATTCACCACCCAAAGACTCTCTCATAGAAGTAGTCAAAGTGTGCCAGGGGGTGACCTGAACGAGGGCATCGCCATAGGTGCTAAGCATCGGCTGGCCAGAGGAGTCCACCATGTGCAACTTGCCGTGAGCGAAGAGATGCCATGGATTCGTCCTGGCCT